GTGTCCATGTGTTCAATTGTCCATGTGTTCAAGTGTTCATGTGTCCTCGTGTCCATTTGTCCCTGTGTCCCTGTGTCCAAGTGTCCAAGTGTCCAAGTGTCCAAGTGTCCCTGTGTCCCTGTGTCCCTGTGTCCAAGTGTCCAAGTGTCCAAGTGTCCAAGTGTCCATGTGTCCCTGTGTCCATGTGTCCATGTTTCCATGTGTCCCTGTGTCCCTGTGTCCATGTATCCCTGTATCCATGTGTTCATGTGTCCATGTGTTCAAGTGTCCATGTGTTCAAGTGGTCATGTGTCCTCGTGTCCATTTGTCCCTTTGTCCATGTGTCCATGTGTCCCTGTGTCCATGTGTTCATGTGTCCATGTGTCCCTGTGTCCCTGTGTCCAAGTGTCCAAGTGTCCAAGTGTCCAAGTGTCCAAGTGTCCATGTGTCCCTGTGTCCATGTGTCCATGTTTCCATGTGTCCCTGTGTCCCTGTGTCCATGTATCCCTGTGTCCATGTGTTCATGTGTTCATGTGTCCATGTGTCCATGTATCCCTGTATCCATGTGTTCATGTGTTCAAGTGTCCATGTGTTCAAGTGGTCATGTGTCCTCGTGTCCATTTGTCCCTTTGTCCATGTGTCCATGTGTCCCTGTGTCCATGTGTCCATGTGTCCATGTGTCCCTGTGTCCATGTGTTCATGTGTTCATGTGTCCATGTGTTCATGTGTCCATGTGTTCATGTGTCCTCGTGTCCATTTGTCCCTTTGTCCATGTGTCCCTGTGTTGATGTGTCCCTTTGTCCCTGTGTCCAAGTGTCCAAGTGTCCAAGTGTCCATGTGTCCATGTGTCCCTGTGTCCCTGTGTCCATGTGTTCATGTGTCCATGTGTTCATGTGTCCCCATGGCCATGTGTCCATTTGTCCATGTGTCCCTGTTCCCATGTGTCCCTGTGTCCATGTGTCCATGTGTCCATGTGTCCATTTGTCCCTTTGTCCATGTGTCCCTTTGTCCATGTGTCCCTGTGTCCCTGTGTCCATGTGTTCATGTGTTCATGTGTCCATGTGTTCATGTGTCCATGTGTTCAAGTGTTCATGTGTCCTCGTGTCCATTTGTCCCTTTGTCCATGTGTCCCTGTGTCCCTTTGTCCATGTGTCCATGTGTCCAAGTGTCCAAGTGTCCAAGTGTCCATGTGTCCATGTGTCCCTGTGTCCCTGTGTCCATGTGTCCCATGTGTCCCCATGGCCATGTGTCCCCGTGTCCCTGTGTCCCTGTGTCCCTGTTTCCCTGTTTCCCTGTGTCCCTGTGTCCATGTGTCCATGTGTCCATGTGTCCATGTGTCCCTGTGTCTATGTGTTCATGTGTCCTCGTGTCCATTTGTCCCTTTGTCCATGTGTCCCTTTGTCCATGTGTCCCTGTGTCCCTTTGTCCATGTGTCCAAGTGTCCATGTGTCCAAGTCTCCAAGTGTCCAAGTGTCCAAGTGTCCATGTGTCCCTGTGTCCATGTGTCCATGTTTCCATGTGTCCCTGTGTCCCTGTGTCCATGTATCCCTGTGTCCATGTGTTCATGTGTTCATGTGTCCATGTGTCCATGTATCCCTGTATCCATGTGTTCATGTGTCCATGTGTTCAAGTGTCCATGTGTTCAAGTGGTCATGTGTCCTCGTGTCCATTTGTCCCTTTGTCCATGTGTCCATGTGTCCCTGTGTCCATGTGTTCATGTGTCCATGTGTCCCTGTGTCCATGTGTTCATGTGTTCATGTGTCCATGTGTTCATGTGTCCATGTGTTCATGTGTCCTCGTGTCCATTTGTCCCTTTGTCCATGTGTCCCTGTGTCCCTTTGTCCATGTGTCCCTGTGTTGATGTGTCCCTTTGTCCCTGTGTCCATGTGTCCAAGTGTCCAAGTGTCCAAGTGTCCAAGTGTCCATGTGTCCATGTGTCCCTGTGTCCCTGTGTCCCTGTGTCCCTGTGTCCCTGTGTCCATGTGTTCATGTGTCCATGTGTTCATGTGTCCCCATGGCCATGTGTCCCTTTGTCCATGTGTCCCTGTTCCCATGTGTCCCTGTGTCCATGTGTCCATGTGTCCATGTGTCCATTTGTCCCTTTGTCCATGTGTCCCTTTGTCCATGTGTCCCTGTGTCCCTGTGTCCATGTGTTCATGTGTTCATGTGTCCATGTGTTCATGTGTCCATGTGTTCAAGTGTTCATGTGTCCTCGTGTCCATTTGTCCCTTTGTCCATGTGTCCCTTTGTCCATGTGTCCATGTGTCCAAGTGTCCAAGTGTCCAAGTGTCCAAGTGTCCAAGTGTCCATGTGTCCATGTGTCCCTGTGTCCAAGTGTCCAAGTGTCCAAGTGTCCATGTGTCCATGTGTCCCTGTGTCCCTGTGTCCATGTGTCCATGTGTCCATGTGTTCATGTGTCCCCATGGCCATGTGTCCCCGTGTCCCTGTGTCCCTGTTTCCCTGTTTCCCTGTGTCCCTGTGTCCATGTGTCCATGTGTCCATGTGTCCATGAGTCCCTGTG